CCAAGTAAGAAAATCAGAGTAGAACGATTCATAACAAAATGTATTTTACGAACATATACGTTACAAGTAACGACAAAAAACATTATTTGTGATGAAGAATATTTCCTTTGCATTTTGTTTGGCATGTTTGATTGTTTATAAATTGGGTGATTGTGCATTACAAGAGGATGGCGAATTGACAGGACAGATAATAGTTAACTCAACTAAACCCGATGGATTTGTAGAAAGATTTACCAAAAACCATACTGGTTATATATTTCAGCGTAGGGTATGTTTAACATTAATTTTATGTCTTTTATTTTTATATATTGAGTTTTTGCATTTTGTTATGTAAAAATCTAATTGCTTTTGATGCCATTTTTCACGTGGACTATATTCCAATAACATATTGACTGGTTATAAAGATTATACGTTTGCAGCAAATTTGTAATCATTAAACAAGACAACAATTGCTCGAGTCGAAGCCGAGTGCAATAGTTGGTGTCGAAGGGACAACAAACTTGGTAATATCCTAATTTCCAGTCATTGCGTGTTTTACAAAACCGAACTAGAAAGTTTTCAAAGAATTAACAAGCAAATAGCAACATGTAATACATGCACATGACGTGTGAGAAGGTATGTTTGCGTCCTTGTGTTATTTGTTAATACGTGTATTTGATTTACAGTAACCAAAAGCGATGTGTCGTATAATTACATAGATAAAACTTGGAAAGGTAGATTTGTATTTTTTAAGGCGATATTCGATTAATTTAGACATGTAAATTGGTCGAATGGCGGATGCTTTACATACATTTTCAATATGTTCGTGCAATACTTGTATACTGTTTTTCTTATTACAAATGACCAATCTTTCTAAAATATCTCGTCGAAACAAATATTTGAGGGCCAATCAAATCAAAATTGTTTGTTGCTGAAAAGGTTACTTTCAGGGTGTTTTGAACGATTGTATTCTCTCGGATTTCAAACGTATTCCTTTAAAAAAAAAAAACAGATTTATAAAATCAATTGGACTGGACTGAGAACGTTGTATCATTGTGTGTTACGTAGACTAAGTTTATGAATAAAACGTAAATGTACACGTACCTGAGTATTCTGAGAAACCTCGTGAATCTTCCAAATGTAGGTATGTTTGTAGGAAAATGTCTTACAAACAGTTGTTTGAAGATATTTAGTGACCGCTTTCTTAATAGTCTCGTCTTAAAAAAAAAACTATTTTCTGATTACGCAGATACAAAAACACAAATATATATAATAAAAATTATTGTGCAGAATATTGATTGATCCGTTTCCAATGAGGCCTGTACAGGGTTTTGTTTGGAAAAGAGAAGCGAAGATACCAAAGAGACATACAAACTAATAAATCGAAAAAAAAAAAAACTGACAACGCCATTGCTAAAAAAGGGAAAGATAAATTGACAAACAGCAGTACACATCACACTGTTTAGAAAACTAAAGACCGAGCAACACGAACCCTACAAAAAACTGGGGGGTGATCTCAGGTGCTCCGAAAGGGTAAGCAGATCCTGCTCTACATTAATAAGGCCTCTGTTTTTATCTATGTTTCATTTTTGCACATTTTGGTATCCTGGTGAATATGACAGTTATTATTCATATTTTAAGCCATGCATTTTGATAATTCTTTTTTAATTCCATCTTTCCTTAATATTTTAAATGAAATTATAAAGAAAAACAAAAATAGACTTTAAAAACAAAAGACTATCCAAAAGAAGTTTTTAAATTGATATAAACGTTGACAATAAAGAGATTTTATTAAGTAGCGTTTCTTTTTTAGTTTCAATATTAATTTAATTTTAAAGAAAACTCCGTTTGAAGACATAGTCATGCGCAATCATCTTTTTTCATGATATTGATGTTTACTTTATATACCCAGACAGTCCCCAGTGCGTAGTTTTGAATTACCTTAATACGAAGTTGTAAAATGATTTAAATTATGCATCGTTACCGATAGTATCAAGCATGTACAGTTGTATTTAAGCTAACACTGTTTAATCGATTAACTAGAAGAATAAAGAAGATGCATTTAAATAATTATACAACACTTCATGTATAAAATGGTGCAAGTTTTCAGTTATCTTACTATGCAAAATATATTTCTAGTTTCGTTTGGTAATTTCTGAACTAAGAAAGTATGTTTCATATCTTGCTATTTTCCACGATATTGACTCAGCGGTTTCCATTTGGAAAGAAGTATTTCTAGTCTATACTCTTCAAATCAAATGGGATAAAACGATTTAAAAAAACGAGATATTCAGGGTCTAGATACGCTGATGCAGTAATTTAAATCTTGAATAGAAAACACTACAGTACACTCAAACAAACACATTCACTGAAGTTGTTGTTCACTTTTCTGCTTAGTCACAACTATCGAAATTCAAATAATTATGAGAAGTTAATACATCTGGTACAATCTTCTATTTCAAAATAAAAATAGATTGGGCAACCGAAGTGTGGTCACTTGTATATTATCCCTTTAAAACCTAAGAATATGTTTTAGAGACCATTGCGGTGTGTGGGATGTATAATAAATACACATGAACATCTGATTAGAAGGAGGGTTATAATTCGATACGACATATAACGTGGTGTCTGTCCGGTTTTGCACGTTTAAGAACCCTTGCAACAATTCTAAGAAAGTACAATTTTCCGTTGGCAGTCTAAATGTCCGGCCCTACATCATGGTCGACTCCTTTTGCAGAACCTTCTTGTTCAACTAGCATATGACTAGTTCTCGGTACTCAGCCAATATTTCAACGACGATTTTCCATGAACCTTTACAACTTGATAAATATTCAGTATTTCAAGTAATTTTGGTAGGGAATGTAAAATGAAAATATTCGTGGTGAAATAACTAGTTAGGCAATTTCAACAACAATAAGTGTATTACCGAGATATGATTAATATATAGTGTATACTAGCCTTACTCAGTTTGCATCTTCCATATTGCAACTTCAAAGCACAATTAAGGTGGTATTATTTACCTTCACAATAACAAAAATAACGAGTAGCTAAGGTCGGACAAGCGTTTTTGAAAAGCATAAAAATTATACTTGTTCAGCACTATGAATTATTTTTCTATCAAGTTTATGGGAAACCTCATAATGATATTCCCTCTTGAAGTAGGGACTAAGGGTTCAAATAAGCATACGGCTGTGTAAAAGAATTTTACGATTTTCAAGAACCCAAAAGTGATGTGTATACGCTATTCTGCTGCCACTGCTATAAAACCAGGTTTAACCCACCATTTCGAAAAATGGCTGTACCAAGCAACAAATATGACACTTGTTTCCATTTGTTCCGTTGGTTGATATAGTCGAGCGTTTGAATTTGTCAAGTTTTAAGGACTTCCCCCTTTATGAATTTACCCTAAAGTTCCGGATTTTCATTAATACTTTTTTTCTGCCATGATCTTCAATAGACCTCATTTTTTTCCCAGTTTCAGATAGGTATTAGATTCTACTTCATTTTCAAAATTGATCAGATAAAAAATTCAAGAGGTTTCAAGTCAGATTATGCAGATATTAGAAACATAAGGTCGGATCCTGAGGTATGTATTTGTATAAAATGAAACAGTGAATAAACAACACCACTGTCGTGTGGCTGAAGCCGATAACATGACTGGTCAAAGCATACATTTTTGATGATGAACAAAATGTGTTATATATAACCTTAATATTAAAATGGATTTTTGTTTTGCGTTTACTTTCGTACATAACAAATGTGAGTTATAGAAATTAGAACTCGTCACTTTGTATGAAGTATTAAGATTTTTTAATAATCATTCATAAATTTGAATATATATCTATTATATACATATTTTGCCTAAACATATAATCAAGGTATTAATCAAAACCGAGTTAAAAATGGCTTTGGTACACTCCCGTACTTGGAATCTTAGACTAGCTACGAACTTATATGCAATAATAGACATCCGGCATGCAAAAAACGTGTCAGATGATTATATATAATTTACTTTGATTGCTGCACAGATAATACCTTTGAGAACGCTCGGGTCAGCATCTGAATCGATACTATATTATAGTATGTTAATACAGTTACACGTTCCCAGTCCACAATGAGATTCAGCGATACCTGTCAATTTAGATTAATGTTTTCAACTATTTTGTATTGAAAAGGTATTGTGCATTGATAAAAAGTAAGTATAGTTTGTCATATACTTTTTAAGGGTTAACACTGCATTTGAAATTGGGTATTAAAAAGGAGAGAATAAGGATGAGGTTAACAGAATAAAGACTTATGTGGTTAAAAAAAAAAGAGAAAAAATGTCGAACAAAATAATAACGCGGATTTTATACATGTATAGAGAGAAAAGATAATGAACAAAAGGAAATGAACAGACATTATTTTTCAATATCTAACTAATACAGAAATGATGGCCCCCAACGTGACCCTCATCAGTTAAGAGTGCACACGTATGCAACTGTTCATTTTTGTGAAATAAACAATTGTTTGTAAGGTGACTCCTTCGTTGCTAGTTTTTGTTAATATTATCATTATTTATACCTATGTGTTTTGCTACATGACATACGGGATGACATAGAGTAATCTTGGCCGGTTAAGCCGGTTGTACCTAGTGTGAAGCTAGCTGTTGATAACAGCCGGCGTTAATATTCATGAGACCAGCCTTCAATAAAGCGTTCGATGAAGAGTTGTAAATAATTATCGATTATTATGATAAAATAACGTTTTTTTTTGTTTATACATGTATTTGATATTGTTTCAAACAGGCAGGTCAATGGGTGTCTTCTTCGCGGTCCGCGTCTACTTAATGAATTATAAAAAGTAACTATTACATTGTAGTCTTCTGCAAGGTCTGTGTCTTTTAACAACATTTGATATGAAAGTAAATAGAAAAGGTTAATGCTTCAATAAACATAGAACCAAGAACCGATTCATTTAAAATTATGTTATAAGTGAAGCCTCATGAATATTAACGCCGACTAGCTTCACGCTAGTCTAAAAACTAAATTAATAAACAAATATAATTAAATAAATGCTTAACGTTTGTAGATAGAATATATACAACAGGAAAGACTATACCACAGAATACTAAAGACAGCAGACACAGAATGGACAAACTTGTGGCATTTGGTGAGAATTTAATTCATCATTTGAATGAAATACATGATATACTACTTTTAAAAAGAAATTGCAATGTTCGATTACAGAATAGGTCATATTGTTTGTTCTTAAGATCACGATCCTGTTTTCCATTATTGTTTAATAGATCTGATATTGACTGCAACTTATTTTGAACAATCTTCTTATCATTAAGTCAACAAACTAACGATTAACTGTTTAAATACTTTTCTTAGACGCTGTGTATGGTGTTAAGAGGAGTCACATAAATAAAAGGACAATATCTTAAGTTGAATGGAGAGTTCACAAATATTCATATCTCAAAACTGACATAAAATATGGCATAAGCAAAGCTGATAAATCAACTGTACAACAGAATAATAAGTGGCCGGAACAAACTTGTATATTTTGGAATGAATGATTGTTTCAATTAAGGAATTCAAGTACTGTATTTGAAGAGTTGCTGTCTATAAAAAATGTTTATTTTTATTCAATCTGTGTTAAACTCCGACGAGAGTGTAGATCAAAACAAAACTACAATAAAAATCGAGTGAACTTTTATATCTTTTACCTACACCATCACAGCTTGATTGATCGTTATGGAATGACTTTATCAAAGTTTCTGAAAACGGCAGAGAATAAGGAATATTATGTATCTTGGTTGCATGTCGCATAAGACATCATATTTCGTAAATCGTTTTATTGATGTTTTATTGATGTTTTTAGAATGAAGACGTGTATCCTTCAATGCAAGTTGGTGAGGCTTGGAGTGCTAGATACAACGGAAGTGGTATAACGGTTGCAATACTCGATGACGGTTTACAGACAAATCATACGGATCTAGACGCAAACGTGGTGTGTTCAAAGTCTTTCTTGATGATGATGATGATGATGATGATGATGATGATGATGATGATGATGATGATGATGATGATGATGATGATGATGATGATGAAGGATAATGGATGATGATGATGATGATGATGATGATGATGATGATGATGATGATGATGATGATGATGATGATGATGATGATGATGATGATGATGATGATGATGATGATGATGATGATGATGATGATGATGATGATGATGATGATGATGAAGACGACGACGACGACGACGACGACAACGACGACGATAATTTTCCAGATATTTTGATGCTGGTGTAGTCGTAACATGTCTGTAAAAAACTCAGTAAAGGTTTGATTGAAACTTGTAGCAGACATTGTTAATATTGCACATTCAATAAAAAAGGCAGGTTTACGATGAACTTATGATTTTATAACCTCTGCTAAGAAGTACAATACTTATAATGAAACATTAAGTATTTGAAGAACAAAATAATTGAAAAACCATTCTTAGTGAGGAAGTTCAAAATTTAAAGATAATTATAGAACTGATTCAACAGCATTTAGTTGAATTTTCAAAAATGACACTAACATGATAAATTACAAACAACCTTTTCAATGCTTACATAAAATACATGACTGTACATAATTTTGTGTTTTAGGACAAACTTAATGACTATGACTATCAGGATTGGGACGACTCTCCAATGCCTCCAAATGGAAGCAGGTACGTTTTTCGAACACAACTTGTCGAAAGTTTGATCAGAATAATTACAAGTAAAAAAAGTATCATTATATCATAGAACTGTTGAAATAACTTGATACATCAGTTCCCTTTTAAGGTATACTGTATGCATTCAAATGATTATTTAATGAAAACGTCCTTCCAATTGGTGGCAATGACGGTGATTATGATGTTTATTGATTGGTTCCAAACTTTCAGCGGCAAATATTACATGCATAAACAGACGAGAACATGTTTATTAAATTCAATTATGATCCCCTATCATTCATCATCTATGGTTTTATAACCCCGCTAGACAGAGAGGGCGTATTTAGGAATCATGATATCCGTCCGTCACAATTGTGGTTTCCAGATGATAGATAGAGAAACGCTTTTTTAAATTGATTGAAATTTTAAGGAATTGTTTTGGTCCACTACAGACAGGTTAGATGTGATTTTCATCATTTTCATCCGTACCGTTTCAGAGCTATAATAGAATTTGATTGATGGATAAAATAGAAATATTTCGGTTTCCAAATGATAATTGGAGTACCGCTTTTAAAATTATTGACATTTTAAAGGAATGTTTTGGACCACTAAAATAGGTTGAGTTCGATTTTTTGTCGTTTTCACTCTTACCGTTCCAAAGTTTTTGGTACTTGATTGTTGAAAAATATCCAGATACTAAATAGAAAATCGCTTTTTGAAATTCATTGAAATTTTAAGGAATTGTTTTGGTCCACTACAGACAGGTTGGATGTGATTTTCATCATTTTCATCCGTACCGTTTCAGAGCTATAATAGAATTTGATTAATGGAAAAAATCAAAATATTTCGGTTTCCAGGTGATAATTGGAGTACCGCTTTTAAAATTATTGACATTTTAAGGGAATGTTTTGGACCACTAAAATAGGTTGAGTTCGATTTTTTGTCGTTTTCACTCTTACCGTTCCAGAGTTTTTGGTACTTGATTGTTGGAAAAATAAACATATACTAAATCGAAAATCGATTTTCGAAATTCATTGAAATCTTAATAAATGTTTCCTGCAAATTCTTTAATTTCACTTTCAGATATATTGATGATGTTCTGTCACTCAATAAAATACATTTCAACAAATGCTTACATCTTATATATCCTATTCAAAACTTGTGTTTAAATTAAGAATCCTTTTAAAAATTGATGAAAATTCTAATGGAATCTTTTGAACCACTAAAAATTCATGAATCTCTCAGTTGCTCGATCCTGGCGAAGTTATCTGTATCTGTTATCACTTAGATCATCTCTCTAGTTCATTTTGGATGTCACCCACAATTTCCTTATTTTTATATATAACAAAATATTCTAAGCAGTAAAACCAAAGTCAATATATACACGTATTACAAAAATAAGGAGATACCATATAATGATAAAAACAGATAAGAGAATGACAGAAAGGGAGACAATACAAACAAAGATCCACAAAATATTAAGCAAAAATTAAAGATAGTCAATACTTAAAATAGTCAGGCAATTTGGAAATGTAAGCAATTCTTGATCAAATTATCGTAGTAGAGATTGATTTATAAAAGTGCACTGCTCTTATTTCCTCATCCCAATTATTGAATTACTGGTATATTTCGTATTTATTTACTCTTGTGACTATACATAACGATTTCTTTAAAAAATTTGTTTACACTAAAGAGTACCGTTCCTTGTGTTGCCAACGACATGTAAATATTTTGTGTCGAATAATAAATACACATATTAAGTATCTAAATATATTTCAGTCATGGTACAAATGTGGCAGGTTTGATAGCGGCAGAAAGAGATAACAATGATTGTATTGTAGGAGTGGCATACGCTTGTAAAATAATAGGTAAACTAGTAAATCAAACTTCTGTAATGATTTCATGAAATATAATCATATTCTGTTGAGAAACACAATCTCAATTTATGGGTAATAAGCTACAAAAACAGGGAACTTGTTAACGGCGATTCGAAAAATGCATTTAAATTTTGCAAATGCTTGTGAAGTTTACCAGTCTTGTCAAATTGTTGACGAATTCAGTTTTGTGATATATTTTCTGTTTAAATTGTGGACATGTATTGAATCAACACTATATAAAAAACCTTCAAATTACAATGTAAATCTGGATTTGCAGAGGAAGTGATTTTGTGAAACAAACAGTACCACGAAAAGAAAAAAAAATGGAACGGTTTTATGTCAGCCTTGTCTGAGGGAGGCTCAACTTTATGTACTCATAAAAAAGTAATAAACAGGACGCTAAACCCATGTAGTTTCAATTTTGTTAGATAGTGTTTTAGAACACAGTACAATATTTTAACAAAAAAAGTATATACTGTACATATATATCAGTTTATCCTACAATCATAAAACTATTGCAAAACTAGCATATATATATAGCAACATATATATTAGTAGATGGTAAATTTCTTTATTAAGGTGTACGACTAATTGGTAGTAATGGAATTACAGATTCACAAGAGGCACAGGCTCTTAGTCATTGTATTGATAAAGTAGACATATATTCTAACAGTTGGGGACCAACTGATGGGTATGGTTTTTGGGATCCCGGAGTTTTGACTAAATCTGCAATACAAGAAGGAGTTACAAATGTGAGCAAATATGTTAACATTGAAATAATGTCAGCTAATTTATCACGCCACGATATATCCTTATGCGATGATGTAGGGTTTAATTAATCATCAATCAATTCATTGAAATTATGTCAGCTAATTTATTTGCATAGTATTAATTTTTCTATCTTTATTGGTGCATACCATGTACGTCAACCTTTGTCAATCACATTGCAAACGTATTGTAAATAGTTCTTCCCTACCAGGAGTACGCTCCATTCTCAGATTTAAAGCGGTTGGTCGATTGGCTGTTCAGGATCCCCGGATGTATTGATACGCAAGCAATATCGGTTGGAAGAAAAAATCCTCATGTTGGTAAAAAAACTATACTTTTTTAACAGAAAAAAGCAATATCGGTTGGAAGAAAAAAAATCCTCAAGTTGGTAAAATACTATACTTTTTAACAGAAACAAGCCTGTTATTATTTTATAGTAGGAACTGTAGGTTGCATGCAGCAAGGCATACTTCCTACCCCTTTAATATAATTTTTACTCCACTTACAGTCAAACGTATTCCATCACGTCCAAACCTATCTGATTTATATCGGAAAGATTTGTGACTTTAGTTTGTGGTGTTAAGGTCTTGCTATAATTGTTAAAACGACCGTATCAAGAAATCACTAAAACAAGAATTGTAATAATAATTTACAAAAAAAATCAGAGGCTCTTTTCCAACAAAATTTTAGGAGTGAAAATACTCGTAAGTCATACACATTTCAATTTATATAAAAATAAGGAGATGCGGTATGATTGCCAATGAGACAACTATCCACCCAAGTTCAAATGAAGTAGATGTACATGTAAGCAATTATAGGCAACCGTACGGCCTTCAACAACGAGAAAAACCCATACCGTATAGTCGGCTATAAATAGCCCCGACATGAAAAATACCAAACAACTTAATTGAGAAAACTAACGGTCTAATTCATAACAAAACAATTTACGAAAAACAAATATGACAGACATGAACCAACGACAACCACGGAACAACATGCTCCTGACTTGGGACTTACGATCAGTTTTAATCAAAAGATTTTTTGTGAAAAGAGTCGCTTTTTACTTAGTTCCACATTTATCATTTTGATTAAAGTAATATAAATTGTGAAATCTTGACACAATCGAATAGAATAAAACAGACTTCTAGATTGAAAAGTAGTTCAATTAATATGCAGTTGGCCTGAATAGTTAATTATTATTACTATCGTTGACTGTGGGAAGGTTTGCACAAAACTGTTATCATTGCTTGTGAGATGATTTATACAAAATGCTTTTCTTAATTACAGGGTAGAAATGGAAAAGGCGTCATTTACACGTGGGCAGCTGGCAACGGTGGGCCACAAGATAATTGTAACGCCGATGGATATGTAAACAGCATCTATACTATAGGAATAACAAGTGTACAACAAGGACAAAATGCATGGTACTCAGAAGTCTGCGCAGCCGCACTTGCCGCAACATATGGCGGGAGTGAGCAAGATAGATATTTGGTAAGACCGTTAAATACATTCTCTGCCGTTGGTTGCTGTCTGTCATTTGTTTTTCGTTCATTGTTTGAGCATAAATCAAGCAAGGCCGTTGGTTTTCTCGTTTGGATTGTTTTACACTTCGTTAAGTTTGCGTCTTCGGTCGATTTGTTTTGTTGGCATGCATACCACATATTCCTAATATTTGTGAATTAATTACTAGTACATTATTAAAAAATATGACAGAAAAAACATAAACAAAGAATATATTCTTATGAATGAACGATATGCCGCGAATAAAATCTGAGTATAAAGGAAAAGTAGGTAGCAAAAACGGAAGTAAAACAAAAATAAAACAAAATCCCCCCTAAAAAGAATTATTTCGTGTTTGTGTAATTGAATCTTGAAATCTTTAAACTCTTTGTCATACTGTGGGATTTTTTTTTTTTTGAAGCAGGAACAGCGACTTTATCACTGAACAACTTAAATAAAACAACTTAGATATAAACAGTCATATAGGACCCACGTGGTTGCCTGGAATATATGGCCGCTAGGTGTACAAATACACATCTACCACGGTTCGGAATAGGGACGTTGACGTCTAGTGTAGATAGAGTGCCTGACTCTCCAAACAAATATGTGATCTTTTTGTAGCCTAGTGTAAATCTGTGCTTAAATAAACAGTGCATTCATGTATGTCCATGGGAGACAGGTGATGCCCCAGCTTGCATATAACGTTATAAAGGGCATAACTAAAGAACGGTAAAAGTGACGCCACCAAAATTTGAACATAATCTGTGTTTTGTTGTAATAAGCATTGTGTATAGGTTTCATAACATTTTGTTGAGACAAACTAAAGTAAGAGAACGGAAATCAATTTTGGGACGTACGTTCGGACGGACAAGGGAAACCCTTAATGCCCCCCTCCGGTGACGGAGAGGGCATACAAAGATCGGCCTACTTTGCAGAACCTCCTTATTGCACTAACTGTTAATGTTTTATCGTCTTGAAAATATATGACATATTTGCCACTTTTTAGCAAAAAGAATCACTCAAAGAAAAAAGTTACATTTATATCATTATATCCCAACATTTTCTTTTTAAGCATTCCATTTTGCTTACCTCGAAGATTTGTTTTTGACATAATTTGAAGTAAAATATATGCGGGAATGATATCTTAATCATTGTATTATATCTATACATTATGTTTTCAGATCACAACATCTATATTTTCAGAGTGTTCTGAGGACAATGTTCAAGGAACTTCGTTTTCCACACCGATTGCAACTGGGATTATTGCGCTCGCCTTACAAGCCAAGTAAGATTATGATATGACATATATTTTATCGTTTAATAATTTTAAACATACTTAAATTACATCTTTGTCGAATATTTAGCGACCTTGAATCGTTTATGTATTTTCCAAAAAAATTGTTTTGTGTCATTTTAATTAAACTAGCATTATTCAAAATAACACTGTCTTAAATTCGTGCGTCCGAAGCGCTTTATTTTGGTTTGCCTTCATAGGGAACGTTCAAGTCTAAATATTAGAAAGACATGGATACATATTTATACCGTGACACGTTATGAACTAAATGACTAAAAGGGTTACTAATAGCAGTGGGTCATTGATGATCATAATGAGACAGATACACTGGAAAGTATAATCAGTAGTTCCAAGCACTAGAGAACGTGTAGTGGCAAACAAATTGTGTTTCGGTTTTCGATAATGATTACCCACACATGTTTGTAGTTAAAAAAAAAACAAGTTGAGTTTACTTTTTTTGAAAATATTTCTTATTGTTTTATCCCACTGTTCGTTTTTTGTACAAAAAGAAAAAACAAAAAATTGCTCAATGTTTTTTTTTGTTCGGCCATTACATTGCCATCTTAATTGCTATCACCTCGTTTCTTAATTTGCAAATTCTTACTTTGCCCGCTATTTAAATTTTGTACTGGGCAAGAAATTCAAAAGACTTATTTTTATATCAGTATCTATATCTCTAAATATATTCCTACATGTTTGCTTCAGGGCTTCAAACTTCTTATAGATTAGGAAAACTGCTAGAACTGCAAATTGGCCTTATTTTGATATATTGTCATTCATATGTTTATTTAATAGCATGCCATTACCTGCTTTTTATCTGTCTCTATAAACTTTGTTTGTAGCCCTTGTTTTTTGGTTAATATTAAATAAACTATCAATTTTTGTTGAAGTCCAGACTTAACATGGAGAGACATTCAACATCTTATTGTATTTACATCATCCAGGAATGGTTTTAACGATACTATTGGTGATTGGGCAACAAACGGGGCCAACAAAGAATGTAATTATTATTAATCCAACATAGTACTCAATAAGCAAGGAAAACAATAAGATAGTTATGTAATATATCGTGGTACAGTCAACGACACAAGATGCGGCTCCAAAATAAAATTGAGAATGGAATCCAAAAACCAATATGTAGATTACTAAACATGAACACAACACTTTATTAATTTCATGCGTCCGACGCGCTTTTCTTGATATACCTCATCAGAAACGCTCAATGTCGAATATTTGAAAGCCAAGGATGTATAAGAACCGAAATAGTTGAAGAGCTATATGACCAAAAAGGACACAAAAGTAATAGCCAAATTTATATAAGGTCAAGAGTTATGAAACAGGATTTATCTACAAAAAGTCATAGCTATCCAAAAAATAACATGTACTCAAATATGAAAAAAAAATGCATCGAAGCGCTTGTCTCAATGCCTTTCAGTTAAAAATGTAAGAATTAAACTTTGGAAAGAAAAACATGAACCAAAAAACCTAAGCACCTATAAATCTAAAAACTTGTTGATTGATTGAAAAAAATGAAAATAACACGTTATAAAATTAATGCGTCCGAAGCACTTTTCTGGATTTACCAGGAAAGCTCAAAGCCGAATATCTGAAAGCCAAGGATGTATAAGGACCGAAACAGTTGAAGAGCTGTATGACCAAAAAGGACATAAAAGAGCCGAATCCATCTAAGGTCAACTTTGCCTGAGGAAGTTGAAACCTTGGTTTCTTTATAATTTCAAAATTTATTAATTGAGAGACGATTTACATATAAACCCGTATTGATTTCTTCAATTCATCTTGTTCTAGATCTCATGGTAAGTTGTTTCAGTTAATAAATATTCTGGCTCTTTATAAGGTGAATGGTCAACTGAAACACCTCCGGAAAATCCTACAACCGCCATCACGCATCAGGTTAAGATAGATGTGGAAACATCGGTCCTCGGTCAGTTATTTCTCTAAGCCTCACAATTATTAGATAAAGTGCACCTTATTGTGTTGTTAATAACAGTATTGGAACTCGCACATGCATAACAGATCTAAAAAAAGGAAATTATTTCTAAAGTTGATTTCACCAATGAAAATGAATCAGTAACCGATTCTTTCAATAGGGACATGTTTATCAGGATCTTGTTCGGTGTCTTGTCAAAAACTGACATGATGTTCATCAGCGCAACTTCTTTGTTGTGATGTCGTTTAATGGACAAATAATCAGAAAAAGATAGTAAAAATATTAGTAAAAATAGTAGGATTATTAGTATATGAGTGCATTCTGTTTAAAAACGTCACCTATGCAACGGAACGTTATATGTATTTTTTATAAAGGTGGTTGAAAATAAGATGTTCGTGTTTAATAAAATAGTAGTTGATAAAAAAATTGATTTAACTAAAGTTTTGACAGATTGTTAAGAAACAGTTACTGAGTACTGTACATGTATGTCAAGTATATGAGCTGTCAATTGTCAAAACTTAGTGAAATGCATTACGTAATCCTGTTTCAATTATTATAATATATGTTTCAGCAATTAATTGGATGCAAATTCTTTACACTGATTCAAACATTTTTCTTTTAAAAGTGATAATATAAAACAAGTCCAGCACTTTTGTTTAAGCAAATTCTGGACATATAATTTGACTGTTAGTCATAGTAATGTGAGTGTTTTTCAGTCAGTTTGGTACTAGGATTTGGTTTAATGAACGCCATTGCTATGGTAACACAAGCTCAATCTTGGACTACAGTACCGGCTCAACAGACATATACTACTATAACAAGAAATCCATCTTTGTAAGTTAATTACTGGCTTCCTTCCATAATTTTTTTTTTAGATGACGGTTTATCAAATAATCCATATCAATTTGATAAAACCTATTGCGTTTTTTTATTTTTGTTGTTGTTGGGGGAGTGTGAGAGGGGAAGATACGAATAGTATGCTTTGAGTATTTTAGATATTTATCACACACATATGCATTGCCAAGACACTAACACCCAAATTTTAGATTTCCGTTACAAATACGCAATAAACAAAAGCACTTGCTTATAAAATGAGAAAGAAAAGTTCACCCCTTTTTAATTTGCCTTGAAGTGATGTATTTTTATTTTATTTTTTTATAACCAGAAGCGTTATGGTTAAACAATCTTGAACTATTTAGACAAACTAACAAACTGTTGCATGCTTTACTAACTTTATTTGGACTTTTGTTGCATTTAACAAATACAGTCAATCATTGTACATTGTAATTCCAAATCAGTTGTTCTGGTTTAACTACAGGAAAACATCCGGTGAAGCGCTTTCAACAGACAAGATAGAAGTGACAACTGATTGTCCAATTAGATTCCTTGAACACGTGACTATTGATATCACATTTTCCTACAGTAGTTACCGTGGTGTGACGGAAATTTTCTTATTATCACCTAGTGCTACTTACAGTAATTTACTACATGTAAGGATCAATGACGCTAATAAATTCGTTGACGCAGGTTCACTTTCATGGACTTTTATGTCAGTGCATTTTTGGTGGGAAAACCCAATCGGATCATGGAACTTATATTTCGGATCAGCTGGTGGTCATTCTGTTGGTGAGTAAGGGAAATACACATTTAGCAGGCTAGACAAAAATAATTCAACTTTACTTTTAATACATGTTCAACAACACCATCAAACAAATTCTGCAACTTCCAAGCTTTTAATCATTTCAATTTTATCAGCAGTAAATAAAAAATCAGCATATGCATTCATGACTACAATTTAAAATCTCTTTAATTTACCATTCAGTATCTATAACCCTTTCCAAAAAAAGTAATAAATACAAGTTTCTGGTTTTGTGGCCATAACAGTATAGAAAACATATGCCATAATGGCTAATGGGATGTAGCATCCTAATTATTTGTACGGTAATGTACTTTATAAATAGCTCGTAAATATAGAAGCAATATTTAATGTTACCAATTGAACATTGCAGTTAGGTCTTTGATTATTGACTTTTTTGGTACTAATATTGATTCTTTATACAAATATTCTAACGTGTAATACATAGCTAAACATACATTGCTATCCAAGAAAAAAACCAAACCAGGTACCTCCGAAAAGTAGGTGCACTACTCATCCCTTTAAAATAAAAAAAGAATTTAACCAAGACTCGAATGTCGACAAAATAGAATAAAATAATTGTACTGAATGTTGGTTGCATTGCTTAACGTACAGTGGCAAATAGTTCATACATGTTCATGTTGAACAAAATAATATTACATACAAAAGGAAGGTCATGTAATAGGGGTCGACGGGTATAAAGGGCAGGCAATTTGGACTTCCACTAAAAGATGAGGATAAATTGCATAAGGACAGAAATTGAGCTTTGCAGCAGGTAGCATATGGACCTCTCAAAGAGTTGTTGCATGGCACTCTCTTTCAATAAACATCGAATTTTACATCCCCATTCTGACCGGACGTCGCTGCGTACCTGTACATCCCGCACAGCCAAACGGACACCCCACTTTGGCAAAGGTTTAAATGCCGTTTGGAGGAAGACCAAAGCGACCATATGTTTCCCCAAATCACTCTTGGGGTAGAATAAAAAAAATACAATTGAAGTACTTTTAAAAAGTCACCAGCAGAATCTTTTATATTTGAAACTCAAATTATAGGAACATCATATGAATTCTTTTGTGGGATTTTTTCGCTGTGTTAAAGACCCATTGGCGGCCTTGGGCTGTTTTGTGCTCTTTGGTCGGATTTTTTGTCTCTTTGGCACATTCCCCATTTCCGTTCTCAATTTTATTATATGTTTTTGTTTTTTAATTTTCAGTGACATTAGATTCATGGTCTTTGACTTTATATGGAACCACTACGCAACCTGTAAATGGTAGGCAATGTGGTTTAACTGATTTGTATGATGTTTTGCGCTTACAAACGATTTGTAACTGTTCTCCAGTGTACTAAATATGGCACACACATTTTGCGTACGATCATCATTTTTTTTGTTTGTTAAATATTAAAAGTCTGAGAAAAGGAAAAACTATTTTCAATTCAAATTGAAAATGAATAAGTTGTGTAGAAGGACGATGACGAAATTGATAGACACATGTATCACACATGTATTTAAAATTAATTGAAAACAATTTTGCAATGAAGTAAAGTAAAATATTTTGTTACATCTTACATTTTGATTGAATTTAAATACTAGTATGTTCAGGTGACATATTTGAAGCGAAATTGTTTGTTACATTTCACTGATTTAACTACAATATGTTGCCCACGGTATCATTAAGGAAATCAAATTTACATATGATATATTACAGTTACATTGTCCGATACCCAAAACACAGATAAACCAACTTCTGGGCCAGATTCGACGGCCAGACAGTCTAGTACAAGTATGTATCTTTTGTTTGTAAATTAAAACATTTGATGCATTTGAACATTTTTATTTTGTAAAGATATTTACGCCAAAAAAGTTGTCTTATGTATTGTTATTACAACACTGGCCCACTGCACTCACACATTTGAATAACCTCGTTACAATTTCTTCAAGTGCCTGTCCAAAGTCAGGAGCATATAATTCAGTTCGAGTCGTTGGTGCATGTCTGTCATATTTGTTGGTTGTCCGGTTTGAATGTTTTTAGATTTTTTCATGTCGGGTCCGTTCAGAGCTTACTATGCGGTATGTGTTTTGCTCATTGATAAAGACCATATGGTGACCTACAGTTGCTTATGCGCTATATTGAATAGTTGTGTCATTGGTAGTTACACTACAACTCCTAAATTCGTAGTAAATGGTAATGTGCTAAAGGGTTATCACAGTACACATCGGAGGGACACAAACATAACTTTGACCAGTGAAAAAACTGAAAAATGCCTCTTCACAAAACGTGCTTAACTCTACACACTCGACCTAAACATTAACCAAGAAAACATGACAAAATAAACTTGGATGAAACGGGTTGGTTTAATGGTTAGCAGATATATATTTCTACAATTGGCACATAGTAGTAAATCGCATTTAATGATGTTGCATTGAAGATAGGAACATGTAGGATTAGATAAGTGAAATACATCGTATCGACGACAGGAAACAGCAAAGCACAACAATACAAGCATTATTGTTGATATTCATTGTTTATTTCCTATAGTGAACTTTTACTCATGTATTTTTACGATATTTCTCTTTTTTCTAATGTTTCTTATGATAAAAAATATAACAATTTAAATTTACCTATTATGCATAAAAGAAGTGAAACTATTTGTAATCTTTGATTCATCCTGAAAGCGAACGTTAATTACAAGATCTTTCCAACCATTAATTTTTACATTGAATAGAAAATTTGCCAGATGCACAATTCAAAATCACACACGCACTAGACTTGAAAAAAATGAAATAGTTACATTTATCCCCATTTTGTTAAGTGAAAATAAAAACCAAAATTACCTAAAAATTACAGGTTGTTGGTTAGTAAAAAATCTTCAAACTTAAAAAGGAATTTACGACACAGAAAACCCATTCGGCCTATTTATTAAAGAATAAAGAATTTCAATTTATAAAATAATGCATACATATGTATTGATATCTCCATAAGTAATTCAGAAAATGTGATAATAAGTTACAAATGTATCTCCCTCATGCAAAGCTCTGATTCCTTGCCCAGCTTTGGCTATAGTTTTTTATCCTTCTTGGTTTATAGCTCTTCATCTTTTTAATAAGCTTTGGATTTTCAAATATTTTGGCCTTGAGCATCAATGAAGAGACATTGATTGTCGAAATGCGCATCTGGTGCAGAAAAATTGGTACCGTTTATGTTATTATTACGAGAGTATAACAATTTAACAATGTTTAACCATTGATATTATTTGCCATTTGTAGTTATGCATACAATCCAGTTACCAACGTCTTTTGGTTTCATAGTTTTGCATGCTTTTTTCCCTTTTTTATTTACTCAAGTGGTTGCTCCGAGTATTTAGGTACATCAAATGAAGATTGATTATATTATTACACATCAACAACCTTAATTGTTATTTAGCAGATGAGTCCATGTCCTCAAATGTGACCTGTCGAATTAGACTTGTCATAGAGTTTGTACTTACATGAGCAACACAACGGGTGCCACTTGTGTATCAAGATTGGCTTACCATTTCGGAGCACCCCATGTTTTTGATGGGGTTTGTGTTGCCCATTCTTTTGTTTTTTATGTTGTGTTGTGTTTTGAATACTGTTATTTGTGTTTTTGGTATTTTTTCGTAATTTGCCATAGCGTTGTCAGTTTATTTTTGACTTGTGAGTTTCAATGTCCCTTTGTATCTTTCGCCTCTTTTTTATATCAATGTGTTTTTTGTCTTTAAAAAGTCATTGATTCTTTTAAAACGTCCACTGATAATGCATCTAAAACGTATTTCATTTTAAATCTTTAGAGACACTGAATGGGATATTTTCAACAGTCACCAAAGTACAAGACAGCACTAATCATAAAACAAGTGGAACAGAAACTGCACCTTTAAAAGATAACACAGAAAGTTGTAAGTTCTACAATTTAACAGAAATACAGAAAGCAGGATTTGAATATATAATATAGATGATAACGTAGCAGAATTTGATATAATTGTTAGGTGACACCCTTCTTTAAATTAAAAAAAAACAGTAACACTTTAGATTTAGAAATGACGTAAGTTTTGTATAGACAAAACGCGCGTCTGGCGTGCAAAATTATAAGTCTTTTATCTTTTGTGAGTTGTTACTACCACTGCGTTGATGGCACCGAAGGTGGACGTTTTCAGCCGAGTTGTTCATATATATTCAATATTACCGTAAGCTTTACAGCTAATCGGTTATTACTTAAAATAAAGGTATGTATCTCACTTATACATAGCTCTGATTCTTTCCCGGGATTTACTATTGATATATGTTTGGTCTACTTAGTTCTATGAGCTCTTCAACGTTTTTATATGTAAAATAAATTGGCCTCGAACATCTCTCTGAAGCGATTTCCAAAAACAATGTGAAATAGCTATTGAATGATACTTTAGTCAAAGAGACATATACAAAAGCAACTTATCTAAAGGTATAGTTTATGTTTTGTAGATGATGAAAGTAAATATATCGTTTGGATCATAATTGGTGTTGTTTGCCTGATTGCTGTAGGCGGAATAATTCCTGTTGTTTTGATATGCATAAAGAAATGTTCTCCGCCGAAAAAAGTAGGTCAGACACCAAAATTAGTGTCACCAAATAAGCAGAGAAAATCAAACAATATCCCACCAATCAGAACTACTAATGAAAACAAATCGAACAATATTCCACCGGTCAGTAATAGCGAGCAGATAAATTCCAACAAGCTTCAACCAAACAGCAATATAAAAGAAGGACATTTATATAATCTGCCACCAAGCAGCATTAATAAGGAGAGAAATTCAGAACATTTTCCACCAAATAGCAATAAGAATGAGCGAACTTCAAACCATCTTCCACCAATCAGCAATGAGAAGAAGAAAGTTCAACCAATCAAAGATTTAGGACAGCCAACTACGTCAACCTTATTGCCTCTTACAAAGAATCGAGACAAGCTTCCATCGATTAGTAAATTTCCTCTAAATGGTTCTCATAATGATAAAATAACAGCGTAGTCATCGCCGAATTAAAATGATTTTTGTCTTTCATTTATTTATATATCATATATATCTTACAGCCTAATGTTGGAAAATTACAACATGTGTCCTCCAGTCGCTACTTTCGTACTATATTCGAATCCACAGCGACCGAAAAACAATCGGAAAAATTGGTCAGTCCTTAACTTTGATATTATTCTTTTTATTGTTCTCTATTTGTTCATTCTTGCCTAGTTATGGCAATAAATGGTTAATAATTAGCGCGATGGAATATTTAAACATATATTCAACAATAACATGACCTATACATTTTGTTGATTTAGTTAGGCAACACACCTTGATGAATATTGAAACCTTTTAAAAATGAAACTGAAGGACAACATTGACACTTTCGTTTCATGCTGGTTTGATTCTCGTGGTATCGAAATGATAATTTTTCGCGTGAATAATTATTGACTATTGCACATGTAATTGAAGGAACTATTATGTAAGGGAAATTTGAAGAGGCCGCGATAAATAGTACTTCTGGTCTTCAACAATATAAACTGTTGACAACGGATATATAACTGTCTTTATCACATTCCCATCCTGTTTTCCTCGAATGTGTCTTTACCGAATTATACTTTTCATCGTGTTTATACACGACAGGTGCCACATGTGAAGCAGGATCTGCTGGCCCTTTAAGAGTAACTGACATCACCCAGCGGATTTTGGCGAAGTTCGTGTTGCTCAGCCTTTAGGTTTCTGTGTTGTATTTTGTATACTGTTGTTTGTATTTTGGTCGTTTTCGGGTTGTATGTTTTTGCTATGGCGTTGTCATTTCATCATCGACTTATGAGTTTGAATATTCCTTTGGTGTATCCCGCCTCTCTGTAATAGTTCACTTATTTTGAAATATATCAAGGCGGTCAGACATTTTCATAATTAGTTAATGTATTCAAAATGATTTAAAGTTGTCATATAATATTCGTTTTTTTTTATATATTTGTTTTTATCGCTTTGGAAAATGAAATATAGTAAAAAAATCAATGAAACGAAGTTCCGCCACATTTCATGAATGATCTTAGTGCATGAACGTCATGGCAAAAAATGACTTCATACGAATAAAAACTCTCAAGCTGAAGGTATTTCCGTTACCAGTACGCTTCAAATTCTGATATTATTTCATAAAAATGGCGTTTATGAGGTAGAAGTTGTTCACTTTCGGTTCTAGCGTTGTAATCGAACATTTATGAATTACAGGAAATCAATATGGTGGCACACTCAATAATATGACATGACAATATAGAAATAAGAAAATGTGGTATGATTGCCAATGAGACAACTCTCCACCAGAGACCAAATGACACAGAAATTATAACCACTATAGGTCACCGTACGGCTTTCACCTCTGGATTTTGCATTCAGGATGTTCGCTACTCTGTATCAAAATCACAAGCTTTTTAAAAGACTGTTATAAATTGATAGTATATGAATAAAGAAACCAAAAAAGCAGAATACAATGCAGGGTCCGCGTGCTTTTTTTTAGAGGTAGAAGCCATTGAAAATTTGGCGGGAAATGGTTCTCTCTAGATTTTTCATACATTTAACAATGGCACCTTTTTGCTTTCAAAAACTATATAAATGTAACAAGGATTTTGTAAGATTTTCAAGTATGGCCTTTTAAACTATATGTAATCAAATTATAAAAAGAAAAGTAGGGGTTAGCTGGCAAACATTTTTAATGGCACTACATAGATAAAACCATAGGATTCCGAAAATCTGGCAAAAATTCAAAAACAAGTGGAGCGAACATCCTTCAATAGTATAAGTATGTCGGGGCTTGATCATCAAAGAGGACCTTACAGTTACTTAATTCTAGAAACAAAAACAAAGACCTCAGGTCATTAAGGTAGTAACTGATAGTGTTCTTAATAACCTGCCTCCCATATAGAGCATATCATTATAAAGGTCAATTGCAATAACGCAGATAGCTTATTTTACTTGATATTGTTAGCTGAAAAATATCCAAACATTTGCCTACAATTGTCTTTGCTCTTTTAATATAAAATGTTCCCATTCAAACTGGTGAAATTGAATCACAATATCCAAACGAATGTTCTGACCAAAAATTAGAAGCATTAGTTATATAATAGAGTAGCTACGCTAACAATAATTTATTTCATGAGGTTATATTATTATTTTCATTAAATTCATCTATGTCACCATAATAAGACACATTACTTTTTCCATTCATTTTTGTGCTAAAATACTTTTTATTTTTCAATACTTATAGTTGGCGGTTATGATTTTGTTTACCACACGGAGTTAAAAAGACATTAAAACGCATATCAAAGAAATGGTAATCAAATATAAAACACACGGGCAAAAGTTTCAATTATTAAAAAAAATCTTAATGATCGAAAGGAAATTATATTGATAAACAAATCTAATAAAATAAAATAGAAGAATGTATATAATTGTGACAGTAATCACCTAGTACCATAAAACAAAAGCATAAGTAAAAGTATAATCTTATTGTATGCCTATGTTATCTGCTAATGTTGTTTTTTATAAAGCAGATTATAATTCATGCTTTCGCATCTATAAATCCTTCCAGATATTATGTTTAAATCCGCGAACCAGTAATAATAGTACAATAGGAAGCTTTCCCCATTTTCTTGATGTTTGGTATTCCGTTACTGAGAATGAAAATACTAGAAACACTTAATAAACCTGATGAGTTCGAAGCGCTATTCTACAATTACCCTCACCAGGATCGCTAAAAAATGTGAAAGCCAGAGATTTGTGAATATTTAAGAAACCATATGAAAATAAGACGCATAGGTTAAATCTATCACACAAATTCTAGTTAATTGTTTTCTAAATGTTTTTATGTTTTCATATAGAGTTTGAATATTTAGACAAACCGTAATAGTTATCTCATTGGCAATCATACCACATCTTCTTATTTTTATATGTATTGTAAACAGTTTTGATTCTTACCTACACAAGGGACCACTTTACCTAAACAAGGAGATTTAAAGCTGTTAACTATGAAATCAGATAAGAGGCCCTCAGTAGATTTTTCTATGTGATTTCTTGCAACTTGTAGAGAGACATGATTAATTTATATTTTTCTTAAACCACTTTAAAACTTCATTAAACAATTGTTTGTATTCGACTTTTATAAACTTTTTTGAATTTCAATATCTCCTTTGGCTCACAATACTAGAAAATATCTAAGTAGGAAACGAATAGGTGTTTTTTTCTGGTCGCGTGCTTGCAGTACACAACGCCGTTAGATAGATCATCAGTTGGGTCAATTAATTATGCTAATGTTAATGTTGCTACCTCTCCGTTAGTGGAAAGGCGGATCGGAGAACGAATCGAAAAAAAAATAATAATTCTGAACTAATGTGTTAATCTAGTGCACTGCAGGGTAATTTTATATGACATGTTATTGTCTTCAATATTCAATATTGCTCTTTTTCTCTTCCTCTGCCCGTTGACTGTATTGTAAAACTAACAAACCTTTGTCTTCTTATACATCAATTTCACATATTCCTTAAAAAATGTATAACTTTGCAGCTATATTGTAATATCTGAAACATACTTTTAGCGCTGCATCCTATTTTAACAGTTTAATTCGTTGGCAAATTACGTCCCTAATATATTTAAAACCATACATTTTTCGACGATGTCGGGATTTTTCAAAATGACGGCTGTGTCATTTGTCGTGTTCATACTTCAGATAAATTTGCCTTTCTCATTATTTATTTGGAATATTTCTGAAGGTTGTATGTTTTGTCTATGATTGATTTAAAAGTAGTTGTTTTTGATGCAAAAATATAATTTTTGTTACAGTCCAGACATATTATAACATCTGCATTAAAATCCAAGGGAAATTCAAAACGGAAAACCCTTTATAAAATGACAAAATCAAAACCTCAAACACATCAAACGAATGGAAAACAATTGTCATATTCCTGACTTGGTACAGACATATCCTAATGTAGAAAATGGTGGATTAAACCTTGTTTTACAGCTAGCTAAACCTCTCACTTGTATGACAGTCGCATAGAATTCCATTATGTTGACAGCAATGTATGAACAAAACAAACAGACATAATACTGATTGACTATGCTACTTCTTTACTTTGACATCAATTGTGCAATATAATCTAGTACATTAATAATTATCTACAACCAGGTATATGTTTATTTAAAGTACAATTAAAATAAGAACCAGGATATAGGATTTGAACTTCGAATGCATTCATAACGGGACAATACAATTTACCACTTAATCGACATAGTTGACAAAGATATGCTTATATTAGATGAGGAAGTGTTTTTATTGTAACCATGGAGTGAAAAACATTGTGTCGTAATAAAAAGATGAATCAATGTTTAGCTGTAAATGATTTAATGATAAATATTATTTAAAATCAAATTACATATAAATCATTTGACTGTCATGGGAAAAATATTTCAAATATCAACCAAACATTTTGTATCTTTTTTTTGTACAGAAAACTCCAGACTGAAATCATGGTTTTAAGAAATAAAGCACTCCAACCAGAGATTAAGTGTTTGTACAGTTGAGCTAGTACATTGATATAAGAAGATGTTGATTGATATTATTTCTTTTTCTGTAAGTTAGAGGCAACGGTATTTAATTTTCTGGAACTACCTTCAGTACCGATATTAAAATCTCATAATTCATTAAGAAGAAACAAATCAATGTAAAAACAAAATCTGATGGAATCATATGATTTCAAAAAGGAACGAGACCGGTCGTTTTGACAGGGTGAGTGTCCTCCTATGCATACATTACCGGCCATGCAAATCCACAAAAATTTAAATACCAGACAACATTTCCGGTATCCAAAGATCTAAGACCGAGAAAACATGTCGCCAGTTATTTAAGACACAGACACATTGAATCGTTCATTAATTATGACCGTAAAAATATGATGTGTTAAGAAAAACTTATAATTCGTAGATTGTATTTGTAAGTTTTTTATTATTATGAATCACCCATTCCAATGAAATAGCGATATTCGGGCATTTTAAACCGTGATTCAATTTGCAGATTGTGCTTGGTCTGTAATATTTGCCTTATGTTCAGCCAATGTTCAGTGGTCAAGATTACAATTTTGTACGCCAGACGCGCGTTTCGTCTACAAAACACTCATCAGTGACGATTGAATCAAAATTGTTTAAAAACAATAAAATAACAAAAATATCGAACTCCAAGGAAAATTCAAATCGGAAAG